TCGAAGCCCAAGAAGACATGTGTCCAATGCTCATGTTGACGACTCGTGTCCTTGGCAGCTTGCTCGGTCAACGTCTGGAAGAGACGTGCTGAGCGAATTCATCGGTGAGGCTACCTGCTTCCCGCAGTCCCCAGCGACAGGGAATGCGGCGTCACAGGATTTAGCCACAAGCGGGACGTGATGGGCATTGGACCGACGGTATGGAGACGAGCGAAACAAACGACTGGGAAAAATAGATTAGATACAGACAGGTTGGAAAAAGGGTAGGCTGGGTAGCAGCACTTGTGCCCAATGAACGAGGGTTCGAGTCGGGGACGGAGGGTCGACTGCGATGGCGCTGTTCCCAATCGTCGTGCAGGTTTTTCGGTCGTGTTGCAGCTGGGACTTGCAGCACTTGCAGCAGCTAACACAATGCACCACCACCACCATCAGTGAGAGGGACGAAAAAAAAACCAGAAGTGAGGGGTGAGGTGGCCGAGTGGGATTCGTGTGGAGAGGCAGAGGGAGCCTTGCAGAGAGAGAAAGAGGAAAAAGAACATGAAGGCGGTCAGGAGGAATACACGCAGAATTCTGGCGTCCGAGTGGAAGGAAGGAAGGGGCGCCGCAACATCTGGGGGGCGGTTTCTAGAAGGTGTCTCGGTCTGTCTCGACTTCCCTTTCTGGTGTAGACGGGAGACTGAGGGCAGCCGCAACGGCAAGAGCAACGGCAACGGCAACGGCAACGGCCCCTTCGCGTCGGGCCTCGACGTGGTGTAACTTGAGCCGACGGCAATTCACTAAGCCACGTTTGAGCTTGCACTTGCCTTCCTTTCCAGTGTCTCGTTTCCCACGTCTCCAGCCATTGGAGCCAGGTTATCTTCCATGTTTGGATAATCATCACGTCGGAGGATGCGTAAAGGTAGGCACTCCCGTCGCTGTGATGATGGCGACTGACCCCTGTCACCCAACGCTGACGGCCCCTCTTCTTAGCCTTTTTCCATTCCTTGCTGAGGAAGAAGATCCCTTACCCAACCCAACCCAGCCCATCGCCCTGGGCTGAACAACATCGTCAAACCATGAATACGTATCCGTACTACGTAGTTCAGTTGACTGACGGATGACACTCGGACGACGGGATAGGAACCGGGAATGGAGACGACAGCTCTCGGTCCGTCCCTCGGCGAATAGACTGGTGGATTGGGCCGCCATGAAGACTCTCCGTCCGTCCATCCGTCCATCTTACTCTGCTGGCGGCGGCTGCTGCTGCTGCCCATCCCTCTCGTTGTCGCGACGAATTTTTCCACGATGCATATCGTCTTCCTTCGTTCCGCCGCCTGCGTTAGGGCATAGTACCCCCATTCTCTAGTCTCACCGCGCTGGCACCCCCTGCACTGGCCTCATGCGGCCATCGTTGGGTTGCGCATTTGCGCATGGCGACTTCGCGCCAGAGTGGATGGTCTTGGGGATCCATCCATCTGCAGGTCCGGCGGGCCTCCCGCAGGACGACCAGCGCAGACGTGTTTCCGGTCTCTCCACGCCCTATTTAGCAGTCGTGGGTTTGGGACTGGGGCCGATACCTTCGAGAAGCCTGCTTCTTATGGAAAGACAAGGAATGCGAAGGATGGTTTGCGGCTCTTACTCAATGAAATCCTCCATGGTTTCTAGCCAAGGCACTGGCGAAGCTGGAAAAGGTAGCTCCCGAAACCATGCTTGAAGCCAAACATATCTCACTTGACAGATTGCCCATCAGTCCATCATGGATACCCTGTCCGGTAGGGAAATGCAAAGAGCAGCTTTTCACATCCCTGATTGAAGTTTCTCAAGCCCTGGTGATATTTTCATGGTCGAATCTGGGCATGACCATATCAACTAAGGTACCTAGCCACGTATTCTGAGCACCATTTGGCTTTTGCAACGATCAAGTCGATGTAAGCGACCCAGTGCACTGAAAAACAAGTGCATGCAAGCTGCAGTGGTTCTCGGCGATGTGTCATTGCAGAAACTAGCATGTTGAAAACAGTCTGAACAGGTAGAAAGGTTGGCCATTATATCGTCGCATCCGATGACTCGGCCGAAACATTGATCCGCTGGACATTGTGACAGGACCTAACCTATGGATTAAGGGCCCCGTGTCCATCACACTGGACGGCATATCCAAGCCCATCAAAGCTATCTCTCCCCAAGTGGAGAAAAGGGACGACAAAACATGTAGCAATCCAAGACCTTCCAGCTGCATCTCATGCTAGTGACAAAGTTGACCTCCAAAGAACCATGCTGAAGTGATGACTGGGTTCAAGCTTTCGGTGTTAGCAAGCTGGCACCGGCCGGCAAGACAGCGGAGCCTGGAGAAGCGCGCTCTGACCAATCACAGGGGTCCGGACCGCTCCACGCGGAACTTTCCAGCTTCGCGTCTGTCGCCTTGTCGCAACTTCAACCGCAGAGTTCACGACAATTCTTACTTACCCCTTCAGCTTCGCGCTCTGCATGTTATCAAATTTTATTCCCCGCTTGAACCACGATAACCCATTTCTGGTTAGATCATTGTAGAGCCGTATTTAAGAAAATTTCGAACTTGTAGCCTCCAATCCCGATAGAAACCCACCCAACCTCCTCCAAACCGATCCCACGATACCGCGATGAACAATCAAGGCCAGGCGGGCCAGCAAGGCGCTGCGGCCGGTCAAGCCGGACCCGGAGCCCAGCGACAGGCTCCAATGTATCGTCCCGAGATGATGCGAAACCTCCCGATCCTCAACGATGAAGAGAAAGCAAAATACGAGCGCGGCCTTCGTCAGCTTTGGAACCATTTCGAGAACCACCCCGAAGACTCGGCCCAGCATCAAGATGCCAAGAAGAAAATCCAGGACTTCACCAAGATGCTTCTGAATAAGCTTCAGCAGCGTAGGTTGCAAGTCCAACAACAGCAGCAAGCCCAGCAGCAAGCCCAGCAGCAACAACCACAGCAAGCCGGCCAGCAATCTCAGCAGACCCAGGCTGCCCAGGCGCCCACGCCCCAGCAACAACCCCAACAGGCACAGCCGCAAGCTCAGCAGCAGACCGCGAGCCAGAACGCAGGCGGCGTGACTGTCAAGACAGAGCCAAAGACCGAAAGCACACCGTCGGCAACCGCAGAGCCGGCACATGCGCCTACACCAGCGCCCGCTCCCGCCGCCGCACCGACTCCCGCCGCTGCCCAACAGCCGCAGTCGACCCCTTCCCAATTTCCGGAGCACATTCTGGCGCACATCCGCCAGATGACATTCAACCCGCCGATGACGATCTCCGAGAAGGGCGCCGAGGCGGCGCAGCGATGGTCGAACGACTTCAAGGCCAAGTACTTGAGAGCGTTGATGCAGATGGACAATAACGGAAACCAGATGAAGCGCATCGACACCATCATCAAGGAGAGGCAGGACAGGGGATCGCCGTACAGCGCGGAAGAGCTGAAGCAGATTCAGATCCGCCGAGAGCATGCTCACAAGATGTACCAGGAGGCGCACAAGTTTGTCGACGGTTTTCGTAAGAGTCAAGAAAACATCAACAAGCAGCGCGCTGCCCTCGCTGGTCAGGCTGCTGCTGGTGCCCAAGGAGCCGCTCGGCCACCGCAACAGCAACAGCAAGCTCAACAGCAGCAGCAGCAAGCTCAGCAACAGGCCCAGCAGCAACAGCCGCAACCCAGTCCGGCCGTGGCTACCGCGCAGACTCCGGCGACCCAGGCAGGTGCGCAGGCCAGCCCGGTGCCTGCCCAGGCGGGTACCCCTTCGATGCAAACCCAAAACACGGCGGTGAATGCAGCTATCGAGGCTGCGAAAAATCAGCAAATGGCAGCTGCCGCCGCCGGACGTGCAACTGCCCAGAACCAGCAGGCGCAACAAGCACACCAGGCCCAGCAACAACAGCAGGCGCAACAGCAGGCGGCTCAGCAGCAAGCGCAACAACAGCAGCAGCAGCAACACCAGGCACCTGCCCAAGCTCAAGCACCCACCCCGTCGGCTCCCACTCCGACTACTCAACCCGCGCAACCTCAACAACCTGCCACTGTCGCACCGCAACAACACCAGCAGCAGCAAGCCATGGCTCCCCAAGGTCAGCAACAGCCTCACCCTCCTCCCGTCAATACAGCCATCGCTTCCGTATCTGCTGGAGGCGGACTTCCCTCGGCAGGCACTCCCACCCAGAACCGCGTCGCGACTCCCCAGTCTGCCGCTCCTCTGGCGAATGGCCAAGCTCTCTCGCACTCTGCTGCAGTCTCGCGCGCAAACCAGCGTGTGAACTCGCAGGTTGCGATTCCTATCCAGCAACAGCCTAACAACACCCCCGGATCTGCCGGCGCACAGGGAGTCATCATGGGTGCCAACAACCAACATGCCCATCCGACTCAGCCCACGCAGACGCTGCAGTCCAAGCTCCCGATCCCGAAGCAGCTTCCCGAAAAGGCGACTGCCGTCCCGCAGCCTGTGGCAATGAGTGGTGGTGCTGGAGCAGGCCGCCCTACCTATACCGGAGGTAGTGGCATTGCCGGTGGTGTCATGGGCCAGCCCGCGATGGCCAAGATTCCAGCCTACCAGCATGAGGCCGAAGGCGACCACGTTCTCAGCAAGAAGAAGCTCGATGAGCTCGTCCGCCAGGTCTGTGGCGGAACCGGCGAGAGTCAGGACAACAACATGTTGATGCCCGAAGTTGAAGAGGTACGTTTTCGAACAAATTATGAGCTTACAATTCTGACATCATTCCAGAGCGTCTTGACCATGGCTGACAGCTTCGTCGACAACGTCCTCGAGACCGCCTGCCGCAACGCTAAGGAGCGCGGATCCAAGGTCCTCGAGATTCGCGACATCCAGCTCGTGCTTGAGCGCACCTACAACATCCGTGTGCCCGGCTACTCATCCGACGAATTGCGCGCTGTTCGCAAGTTCCAGCCTTCCACGGCCTGGATCACCAAGATGAGCGCCATTCAAGCGGCAAAGGTCACCTCCGGTAAGGGCGAGTAGGACCAGCCTTGCCAGGAACCAAAGTCGGCGATGAAGGACAACAAGAAGAAGAAGAAGTGCAACCCTAACATGTGTGGTGTGGCCAAGAGTGTCCGGTTCTTCGAAGACGAAGAGGGAGATTGCAGTGATGGAGCTTCGTCTCGGGGAAGCTCCCCAGTCAAGGGTTCATCCAAGACCACCTTCGGCTCCAAGGGCTCCAAGAGCATGGCAACCAAGTCCCCCTCGAAGAATGGCACTCCTACCAAGGCCTCTTCGAAGAGCGGTACTCCGGTCAAGGCCAGGTCGCAAAAGTCTCCTTCTCCTACCAAAAAGGCTCCACTCAAGAGCCAGCCTCAAAGCCAGACTCGGCAGCAGGTCAGTGGCCCGGAGCTGATTCAGTACCCTGTCACGAACGACGGCCAGAATGGCTCTTTTACCCAACCTCACGACAACCTCTCGATGGAAATCAGCTGGAAGTAGTAGGCCAAGGATCCCATTTCGTACATCGTTTGCGCACTTGGAATTATCAGGGTTTTTATGGCACGGATTGCAGGACATGATGAGGCGTTTCGGGAAATACAGGTGGTCCTTTGGCGACATTTCAACGTCGTGGTTGCTACGAGGCACCTTTTTCAGTGTAGGCTATACCCAAAATTGATCACAGATTAGGACGCATCCCATCAAAGTGAATCAAGCTTGATTGTAATAAGTATATGCAAGCCCTGTTCTGGATCAACGTCCAGCAATGTAGATGCCATGAGTAAGCTGGATCACGACATCGTCCAGCTGGTAACAAGCGGCTGCGTGGACATCGCCGGGCCGCCCAGACGTCCGCAAGGGAGAGAATAGCAATAGTCCGGATTCGGTCGGAGATCACAAACAGACATGCAGGTGGCGCCGCATTTCGTACATGTGGTCTCTCATCTTTGGACGAAGGCAGAGAATGTCGCATTATTCGTCTAGAAGGACGAATCTGGGTTCAATATGCGAAAGCCCTTGGGTGTTCATGCTGGGGACGTTGGGCCAATGCTCAACACGAAGGCGATTGAATTGTTAGCGCAGCCATAAGATGGGGAGCTCAGTGTCAGTTAGTTGTATGCTGAGTAATAATAATTGCAGTTGGTCGCTGTCGAGTGCGGTGGTTGAGTTGTGCAAAGACAGGCTTGTGTATAATTACATAATTCCAGCTGAGAGCTGCACAAGTGGCACGAAAGCAAAAGGGCAGGCACAAGCAGGCAGCATCGACAACGTCACTCGCGCCTGGGACCCGTGTGGCCTTTACTTACTTCCCTTTCGGTTTTGGGCATGGTGCTCCACGCTCCCAGCAGGCCCGGCAATCTCACTCGCTTAGCTAAGGTACAAGAGGGGTACAACCAAGTGCGCCGTATCCGCACCTAAGCTGGCGTGACTCACGTGTACACATCCCACCCCAACAGAGTACCGTGACCTCTGCTAGGTGTCTTCGCCCCAAGGGCCTGAGTGCAGCAGCAGCAGCAGCAGCAGTAGCCCAAGCCTCAGGTATTCAATCTTTGAGCTCTCCTCCATCGGACCTTCTTGCATCACGGGGCAAACGGCCAAACAACAACCACCCATTCCCATCAGCGAACGCCGACTCCGACAGAGCTCCGGCTTCCAACTGCGTACACTCTTCAACTCCGACCTCTGTCACCTGACTTTCCCACCCAATCCTTCCGGTACGAGACACCTGACGGGGCTCCGTATCTACGCAAAACAACACCCACCTCGCTCCCTCTTCCCCGGGCGCGACATCACGACCGATAACCGACCGCTGCCACCCCGGACGGCACCCGGAACACTTCCACATACACACCTACAGCTGGCCCACTGAGCAGATATGCCGGGCAAAACACCCTCGCGCAACGGGAAGGAGCCCCTGGAGAACGGCGTCCAGAACAACAAGAAGGACGAGGCAAAGAACAAGAGCAAGAAGGCCGCCAAGGACGGCGACGAGGAGATGACTGTGGTCGTTCCCCCTCCGAAGAAGGCCGCTGCTCCTGCTGGTGACGTTGATGGTGACGTTGATGGTGACGTTGAGATGGGTGATGAGGGCAAGGATGAGGCAGAGGTCACGGTCGACCCTGTGGTGCAGGCTGTAGCAGGTACGCAATGCTTTACATCCGAATACCTGCGGTGCACTGCCGTCTGAAGCTCCTTACTGACGAAATGACCATGAACAGACATCAAGAGCAACTTTGCTCTGCTAGATCGCGCCGTCGTTCTCTTCGATGCCAGATTCACCCTCCGAGCTCTGCGGTCAATCTCGACCATCCGCAAGCGCCTGACCCCCGACATCATTGCCCAGGCCATCGTCGAGACCTTCCCCGCGACCGTCGCCTCCGGAAACGTTGCCAAGCAGCTTCTGATTGCCATCGGCCGCGAGAACGTGCCCCTGGGTCGTTCTAGCGGTCCCGATATGGAAGTCGACAGCGAGCCCGCGAAGACGGCCAAGAACGGCCAGAAGAAGGAGGCAAAGGAGATCATCCCGGAGATTGACATCTTCCTCGGCATTCTGATCCAGGTCCACCTCTACGACTCAAAGCAGTTCCAGCTGGGAGCCGACTTCTCCAAGCAGCTCACCGACCGCATCCACAACCTCAACCGCCGCACATTAGACTCTCTCTCCGCCAAGGTCTACTTCTACTACTCAATGTTCTGCGAGAACCTTGCACCCCAGCCCTTGTCTCCCCAGTCCCCGATCGTTGCCATCAGGCCAACCCTGCTCGCTGCTCTGCGTACTGCTGTCCTCCGCAAGGACATTGACACGCAAGCTTCGGTTATCGTGTTGCTGCTTCGCAGCTACTTGCTGACGTCCCACATCGCGCAAGCCGATCTTCTCGTCTCCCACACCCAGTTCCCCGAGAACGCTGCCAACAACCAGGTTGCTCGATTCCTGTACTACCTCGGACGCATCCGCGCTATCCAGCTCAGATACACCGAGGCACACGAGCACCTTACGGCCGCGACCCGTAAGGCCCCCTCAAGCGCCGCCGCCGTCGGCTTCTCCCAGACTGCGACCAAGCTGCTGCTTGTCGTCGAGCTGCTGATGGGTGACATCCCCGAGCGCTCCACCTTCCGCCAGCCTACCCTCGAGCTGGCTCTGCATCCCTACTTCCTCCTCGTCCAGGCCGTTCGCGTCGGCAAGGTGCAGAACTTCGAGACGATCATCGCCGACCACGCCGATACCTTCCGCCGCGACGGCACCTACAGCCTGATCCTCCGTCTCCGCCAGAATGTCATCAAGACCGGTATCCGCATGATGTCTCTGTCATACTCTCGCATCTCCCTGCGCGACATTTGCATTCGTCTCGATCTCGGCAGCGAGGAGTCAGCCGAGTACATTGTCGCCAAGGCCATCCGCGACGGTGTCATTGAGGCCACTCTGGACCGCGAGCACGGATATATGAAGAGCAAGGAGGTCGGCGACGTCTACGCTACGCGGGAGCCCGGTGAAGCCTTCCACGACAGAATTCGCGCGTGCTTGGCTCTGCACGACGAGAGCGTCAAGGTATGCTGATTACCTTCTGCTTTTCTGACAGTTTACTAACGCAATCTCTTCAGGCTATGCGATTCCCCATGAACCAGCACCGCCTCGAGCTCAAGAACGCCCAAGAAGCACGCGAGCGCGAACGTGAGATGGCGAAGGAGATACAGGAGGGCGACCTGGATGAGGACGACCTCGGTGGCGACTTCGAGGGCATGTAACAACTCTATCTTCTACTGTGTTGTTGTCTTATCAACTCTTTTGCCGATGCTTACCTGCCCGGCCAATTTCCCTACCTTGTCGCTACAACCTTCAACAAAGTGGCATGGCGACTGGAGATCCCGCAGAACAGGTTCTTGGTTCAGTAAGCAAAGGATGGCGGCGCTGGGACGGTGTGTGCCTTACCGCAAACGACTCAAGGGCGGTGATGATAGACTTTTTCCCCCTTGATTTTTCCCTGTGATTGCGGGCATGCGTGCAGGCAATGGTGGTGGTGGTTGGTGGGGTCCCCGATGAGGGGTCCGGCGATGGACGTGTACGTGTTTGAGCGGGGTCGCCCGCGGCTTCGCTGTGTACTAGATAACGCAAGACATGTTGTTGCCGTTCATTTTGATGTTCTCGTGGTGGCTGTGATGTGTGTGATCCCTAAGAAAGCGGGAGCTGATGGCCTGTCAGTGAAGAATCTGACATTTAGTTCCCCTTATGCCTATCACGCCCCAAGTTGGAAGACTCTAATTGTCGGGCGTATAAATTAATTCCGGGCACGCAACTGGGGGGTGAAACGACCAAATAATTGCGTGCTCAACCTTTGTGGCAGATGTCGCGGCAAAAGCGGTCGGACACTCGCGTGAGCCTAGAAGTAACGTCTCAGGCATCCTCTTCTGCCGAAGAGTGTATGTCATTTTGCAGCGCTCAAGGTTCATCTTAGTGATTCATACAAATACTCCTAGAAATACTCCAGAAGTAGCACTCAGAGATGGGGAAGACAGGCCCAAGGTCGGTGAGGCTTTGATGCCGTGGGAGCGGGTGGGTTCGTTGCCTCGCTGGCTGGGGACATGGGCGGTGTCGTATTCGTTTCCATTTAATCTGATAGGTACGAGAGCAATTTCAATTTTTGTCTGGGCTAGGTGAGGGGTGTTTACTGCGTTTAGAATCATTTTGTAGTTGGCGCTGGTGAGATGTTGTCAGCTGGAGTGTAGTGGGTGATGAAGCATATAAAGCCCGTTTGTGTGGCTCTCCAGTTCTGTCCAGCAGCAGGCAATAGGGCCGGGTGTTATTCAATTCGCGAATCGCAGAGACAGTCTTGAAAACGGACCACAACCTTTTTTCGGTCTTCGTCTTTGGCGCTGTCCTTGCATAGGCCGGCGTGATGCGTCGAGTGAGAAGGTCCGGGAGTATACGTATCGAATACTTGCGAGGGAGTGTTGAGTGGAGATGAGGACCAAAGTCGACACAGCTTTGGCAGTCCCTGGATCGGAGAGATGGCGGTATGGGTAGCAGTGAAGTTGAAGAGCCTGGGTTTCATCGCTTTACTTTGGGAGCATATTCCCTTGTTTTGAATTGTGCCGCAACAGATAAGCACAAATCTTTTAAATGGCCTTGAGGAATCAGATGATGAATTCTTGATGATTTTAAATAGTTGGCACTTTCCAGGTTGTTGCAGTCCCTGAAAGGTCACCATCTTACCATGACTTCTTTCGGAAGGACCCCCAGTCTGTGCGCTGGCAGAACATCTTTTGGGGTGAGAACACATGAGACAGTCTTTCAACTATGACGTAGCATTGAAAGGTATGTATAATCAATCAAGGGCTGGACATGATTCTACTATGTGAATTGTGTGTGTCGTGTAGCAATGGATACCACAAGACCGCAACGAAATACGCCTCCCAGGGTTTGACTCCGAAGTCTGACGAGACTCCATATCGTATTAAGAATACTCGCAACATGACAGTGGAAGTGAGGGATGTCGGTATGAACAAACGAGGAGCTTTTGCATAGATACCGGTTATTGAAGGAAGAAGAATGACAGACAAAAAATTGTTAACATCAGCCATTGCCCGAAGATGCTCCAACTCGACCGACTACAAATCCATTTGCATTGCTTAGTCAAACGTCAGTCTGGACATTTTCAAGGGCAGTTTGTATATGCTCATGTCCTCACGTAGCTTGTTGCCAATGCTTATGGTCCAGGACGGCGAGAAACTGAGCAGCTGAGACCGTTGGCTCCATGTCGGTGCCCATACTACAGTCTTGACCAGCCAAGATATCACTGTACGTATTATAAATATCCGTCTTGTGGTGCTGGTCTTTCTCCTGTCCATGCACGAAAATCATCCATGTATGTGTGTGACTGCTGCTCCGAATTGGGCTTTGGGGGTTGACCCACGGCTTGGGCGGTGTCGGACGAATTTGGTTGGTCCTGTTTCAATATGTGCCGACGAACATGTTTAATACATTGCATGGCTCTCGTATACTCACACAACGGGAACGAGGTACGGCAGCGAGCAACGTGAGTGTTTCATGTAATGGCTACCAGCTAAGTAGGCTGGGCAATGGACACCGGAACATCTTTTGCGGTAGACGCCATAATCTCGGGCTGCATAACCCTGCACCTGCCACCGAGCGAGTTGCTTGAAAAGCTCATGAGATGCAGCGGAAAACGAGTTTATATACCGGGCCGTATCCGGAAATAGGCTGTTTGGCGGTAAGAGAGACTACAATATTGAGGTGTCGTCAATCAGCATTTCACCTAGGACGGACACCGCTTCATCTGATTTCCCGACGCTGACGACATAACTTCAAATAAATGGTTGAACCAATTTGATATTTCTTTCTGTAAGAGGACAATGAAAAGCATTGGGCTCCTGGAACTTGCGTTCTGATTCTGATTGTGCTACCTGTATTTCCACATACTTCGGGTATTCTACCAAGTGATCCGACGTAGTGAGGCTTACAAATACCCCGAGAACGCCCTGCGCAATACTCCTTTGGCAGCGATAATAAGGACGGATAGCTGCGAAGTAAGTAAGATGTTAGGAGGACTGCGATGCCTTTGAAGCCCACCAAAGGTAAGAGGGTTAGAATCATCTAGGGAAGCTTGAGGAAATTAAACCTAAGCTCGCTTTAAGAAAGCACAGAAGCTTGACTTTTCAAGAAAACTATTGCATGTGGAATATTTCAAGGGCGGAAGAAGAGGATGCAGACGCAGGCTTGAGATGTGTGGCAGGTCATGCCGGCGTTCGAGCTCCTTTGCAGGCATGAAAGGTCTTTAGTCGATGTCTTGAAAGTTTCGACTGGTTGATGAAGTCAGTATGCATCAGATAGGGAAATTGATGGAAGATCTTGAGACACAACGCCGAACCCGTATTTGTACTCTGTTCAACAATCGGGGGCTGGCCTTTCGGTACACAGATACCACTCACAGCTCGAACGTAACATCGTTCTGAGGCGCGTTAACCCTTCTCATCATAATATGTCCGAATTTGGGCGCGTGGTTGTGAGACTTTCCCTACGGTTGGCTGGGACGAGGAGGATATTTAGGCATCATGACTTGGAAAATCTGACAGACATTGTCAACTTCTTACGGGGAATCCAACATGTATAAGCTGCCATGAGAGAGGATGTGGGATGAACCTCTTACATGGTTTCATTTAGACTCATGACTAAGACCGCTGACCCAACCTCGTACTCACTGGTGCTGTGCTTCTTGCGCAAATAGGGGTACATTATCCACCTGGACGAATCTCATATACTTTGCATCAAAACATAGGAGAAAATGGTAGAATGTACCAATCAATACCACTCTCACTGCGCCAAGCCCCCATGAGCGCTTTTGACGAGGAATACCTTCTGCGTTATATGAAACCCGTCTTCTCCGGCTTCTTGCCGTAGATGGACCAGCTTGAGAGGCATTGTCAGAAATTTCTTCTCACCTTAAGGTAGTTTGAGAGATGCTGAACCTACATTGAGTAATATGCGTGAATACTCCGGTCATCATGTTCCTTGCTATTCTGTGCGATGAGCTCCATCACCTCCTCCTTTGTCCAGCCCATAACTCTCGTCAGTGGAGCCATGCATATGGACTCCCAGCCTTCATGAATGTTCTCATTCATCCAAACGCCCAGCTCCTTGTGGCGCTTTTCCCTCGGCCAGCTATTAGTGGGCCACTTGTACTGCTGTAAGATAATATCGACGAACCCAATATCAGCCATCATAGACTTAAGCTCCTTGATATCTTGATATGGACGACCAACGATCTGCATGGCCTCTTGAATCAAGCGACATGTTTTCAGGACGGTATGGTCTGGCTTCAAGGTACCATCATCGGAGAGGGGCATCAGGTCGATCTCGTTAAGTTCCAAATAGCCACCGGGACTAAGATTGCTACGTTCTCATCAGCGTGGATGGCTAAGATACCTCATAGCTATAGACTGACTCGTAGCATTCTTGAACATATTCCGTCCAATTTCCAATAGACGAGTTCAGCATCCTGCTATGGATGTAGTCGAAGGGCCTGGAAAAGGTCCAAGGTTCTTCTAAATCCGCGATCTCGAATTTGACATTGGACGGGACACTCTCGGAGTTAGTATCTACAAATTTCAATTATGCAGTCAACTTACAATTCCGGAAATGCTACAGATAAGTCGATCCCGCGAACTTCTGCTTCGGGGTGCTCGTCGGCGAAATCGATCGCCCAGATTCCTGTACCAGCGCCAACATCAAGGACGCGGCCAACCTTGGCCCCGAGGTTATTTGGGGGTGCATTTCCCAGCCTGTCGTTGAAAGTGAGCAAAAACATGGTATGTTGCATATCTGGAGTAAATATCAGCATTCAAGAACAATAGGCCCAAATTACTCTGGAGTTGATACCGAGTCTCTCGTTTTCCCTATCATCGTTGGGCAGATTATATTCTATGCGGAGATCCACGTCAGAGTCTATGGCTCCTTCAAGAAGATTTACCTACTGCCGTCTTTGTACTTGTGGTACGTTCTGCCATTTTCTATCCTATAATCGAGGATAGATTCAGTCACACTCCCTGTCGGGGAATGCAAGCTTTGCTGCGTGTCATGCATATGAGCCTCTTGCATTGATGAGAGCGATAGACAGTGCGCAAGGACTCACATTTGCAACCGAAGACGCCCCGTATCCCTAGGTGGATCGTTTAGCCACTAAGTTGTCCCCATACCAAGAACATTATTCGCACCTCATCGTCGGCCTCAATCGTGACTATGTGGTCCACAATGTTGTCGGGGCGGGATGTGGAAGTCCCTAAAGGGGCTCCACCAGCAGCTCCAGGAGCTGACATGGTGGGGAGATGCACAGAGAGTCAACAAATGCGATTTTAGCAGCGGTTGCAGTGTTCTTGCTGCTAGTCGTGGGTCGTGCAATTATAGGAGAAGGTGGCATCAGAATGTGCAGCATTTCATTCAAAGCATCCTACCCCTCATTTCAAAAGCCAGGGCAGTTGACGCATGCAAGCCTGCCTAAGCGAGGCCTTGTCCATGTATGTGACAAAAATTGTTGGATCCCTCCTGTGTGATAACAAATGGGGGCCGTTGAGCAGCCACGCGGCAGGCTCATACGGTCGGGATACCAACGGCCAATCCTAGCCCTTAGCTCTGTTGGAACTCGCCACGGCGCACTATTCTGGCGGCAGGTCCCAAGTACTGAAATTGCAGCTGGCGCTCATTATTGGAGTAAAAACTCACTTTCAAAATTGACACTGTCGTTTGCTCGCTTTGTTTTCTCATCTAGGGCCTTGTAGGAGTCCGAGAGACAACAAGGCTATCCCACGTTGGGACCAGTCCGCATACCTGGCGTGAGAAGAACGGCAAGACTTGTATTCGCCCCCATGAAGCGGAGATTTTGCGGTGAAGAGAGTGGATTTTTCATGCATCTATCGTAAATGGTATTGTTTGGTAAGAGAAGAGCGAGGAAATGCGGTACGACCCTAAGGTAACAGATGCCCCAAACCCGCAAATCTATCATAATTCAAACAATATGTGTAGGCCATCCTACTGACCCTTATCCGTCTTGACAGGCTTTCTTCCGTAGATGTTCCAACTAAAGGATTATCAGCAGAACGCTTCTGTCGTCACCAAGCTCGTCACTTACATGGAGAAGTACTGGTGGATGCTCTTATCGTTGAACTCCTTCCGGTTATGCATCATGAAGATGTGAACCTCTTCTTTTGTCCACCCAAGTGCCCTCGTCAACGGGGCCATGCAAATCCCCTCCCACCCGAGCATCAGATTTTCGTTGTTCCATTCTCCCAAATCCTTGTACTTCTGTTCCTTAGGCCACGAGTTCACCGGCCACTTGAATTGCGGCATTGTGACGTCTTCAAAACCAAGTTCCATAAGAACCGGCTTCAACTTCTGGATCTCCTGGTATCGGCGCCCAGCCTTTTCGGTGGCTTCTTTCAGGAGTCTCCCAATCTTCCAGCTGTAGTGGTCTGGCTTGAGGGTCCCGTCATCGGAAAGAAGAACGATATCAATCTCGCTCAACTCCAAATAACCGCCCGGGTATAGATTGCTACCCGCAGGGTGAATTAGCTTGACTTTTTCAGAGGCAGACTCGATACTTCCTATGATGCTGACCCCATTGTATCAGGCGGCATGTGGTCTGACAGAGGCAAACTGAAACTTACTCATAGCACTTCTTGATGTAATCTCTCCAGTCACTGATCGATGAATTCATCATCCGGCTGTGAATGTAATCGAAAGGCTCTGAATAGGTCCATGATTCCTCTACGTCGTCGATTTCGAACTTGACGTTCGGAGGTGTGCTAATTATTTGAGTCAGCAAGATTTACCAGAACTTTAGTGAGAAGTGTCGTGTCGTAAATCCCATTATTCTAATCTGTAACTTACAATTCTGGCAGCGTGGCCGAGAGATCCACACCAAGGACCTGTTGATGACAAGGGGTGAGCGCATGCGCATAAATCATTTAACGTGAGACTCACCTCCGCCTCAGGGTGTTCATCGCCAAAGTCCATAGCCCAAATGCCAGTACCTGTGCCGAGATCGAGAACCCGACCGACCTCAGATCCTGGCTGCGCGGGAGGCGCAGTACCGAGACGGTCATCAAAGGTCTTCATGAACATGTAGTGTTGATGGTCTAATGAGTTAGTAATGATAATGAGACATTGAGTTGATGCTCACCCCGTCTTTCGAGCTCTCTAGCGTCATTTGGTACCATGTATTCTATGTCACGATCTTAGAAAGGGGGATAGTGGAGACAGCAGCCTCAGACTCACTGCCATCCTTGTACTTGTGGTACGTCCTTCCATTCTCAATCCTATACTCATAGATTGACGAGGTGATACTGTTAGTACTTGAAGAGACGCTAGGCTGTTTATCTGTCAGATGCAAGGGCCGTTGGGCTGTGGTGCTGTTACACTCACGGCGTAATATACCGAAATAACAAACGTATAGCCCAAGGCTGCGGCCGCCTCGGCCTAGCAGAAGTGTTTGATGGCGAGGCTGAAGGGGCGAGGGCAGGACTCCGACGGGCCCTCCTCACCTCCCAGGGGCAGCCTATACATATCTG